GAGGGCTGGAGCAGCTCTGGGACAGGCTGGGAGAGTTGGGGGGTTCAGCCTGGGGAAGAGAAGGCTCCAGGGAGACCTGAGAGCCCCTTCCAGTGCCCAAAGGGGCTCCAGGAAAGCTGGGGAGGGGCTTGGGACAAGGGCAGGAGGGATGGGAGCAGGGGAAGGGCTCTAACCTGGCAGAGGGTCCCTCACCCGGTGGGCAGGAAACCAACCCACACACATGGTGGAGAGATTCGCTTTAATCTCCATTTCTGCCCAGAAAAGGGAGCAGGGGGGTGCCCTGAATGTGGGAAGAGCTTCAATACTAGTGCTGGGTTGAGGTGTCACCAACTCATCCACAGCAAGGAAAAACCCTTTCCTTGTCACCAGGGTGGGAAGAGCTTCATGGGCAGCAAGAGCCTCATCTGTCACCTCCAGGTGCACACAGATGAACATCCCTACAAATGCCTTGACTGCAGGAAGAGCTTTGCCAGGAGCTCTGCCCTCACCAACCATCATTGCGTCCACATGGGAGAGAAACCCTAAACACATCCCCAGAGCCAGAAGAGCTTCAGTCGCAGCTGCACCTTGTGGAAACATCAGCAGCTCCACACGGGTGAATGACCCTTTAGCTGCTCCCAGTGTGAGAAGGGGCTTTACCAGAGAGCAGATCTCATCCGTCATAGCCAGATGCACCTCAGGGATCACCAAGGCTGAAGGGCCATGGTCAAGGTCACCCCATTTTCCAAGCTGTGTCCCACCTGTGGTGTTTTCTCCAGCTTCTCATGGACCATAAAATGGTGTCAGCTCAGGAACAACTTCATGTCCCATCCAGCACCTAATATTTTCTTCATCTTTAGGGGGATTTTCTACCAAAATGAGGCCAAAAAGAAGTCTTTATCATGGTGACACCTTCAAGGGACAAAGGGGATGTAGTGGGATGGGATCCCATCTATTCTTTTAGGGAGGGAAATCACAGAATCTTAGGGGTTGGAAGGGACTTCTGAAGATCATCCAGTCCAACCCCCCTGCCAGAGCAGGGGCACCCAGAGCACATCACACACAAACGCATCCAGGTGGGTTTGAATGTCTCCAGAGAAGGAGACTCCACAACCTCTCTGGGCAGCCTGTCCCAGGGCTCTGTCACCCTCACAGTAAAGAATGTTTTCCTCACATTCACATGGAGCCTCCCATGCTCCGGTTTGCCCCCATTGCCCCATGTCCTGTCACTGGACATCACTGAGAAGAGCCTGGTTCTGTCCTCCTGACACTCACCCTCTACATATTTATGAACATACCCATGTGGAGCGTTTTAGGGTGAGTTAGTGAGGGGATCTGCAAGGAAAATGGGGCAACAGGGTGGGATTGGGTCCTTTTGAGGTGAAAAATGCCTTTTTCCTCTAGGATGCTGTTCTGGGGAGCATTGGATCAAAAAGTTGGTCTCTGCTCTTCAGTGTCCAACTGTGATGGCTACAGAAATGGAGACACACAGATGAGGAGCTTGAGGCTTGATACCATTTTAGTTTACAAATAAAAATGTTACAAAGGGGTGACAGATCGATCCCTTGCAGCTCTTAAGGGTGCAAAATTATGGAGAAACCTCTGGGTGCTGGGAGGTTGGGACCCCCTCCCCAAAATGTCCCCCTTGTCCCACGCAGGGGTGCAGCGGGTGATGAAGTGCGGGGGTTATCCCCCATTTCTCTGATGGGTTGAGGGGGACTTGAGACTCCAATCTCCACCCCTAATTTGGGGTCTGTAGGAGCTTTGCCAGGACCCTATGAGGTGAGGGGCTTCTTGGGGGGGCCCCCCTCAAACGCTCCAGAGGGGACTAACATTGGACCCCCAGGGAGACTCACATAGGACACCATATGGGGTGTGACCCCCAGGAGCTGCATTCTTGGGCAAGCCCCACAGCCTCTGGGAGACCCCCCAGGAGCCCTGAGGGCTGCATTTGAAGGTGGGGGTGAGACTCTCCACAACCCCCCCAGACCTCCAAGGCCCACCCCTGGGAGCACCTGTACCCTCCTGTTGATGGGTCATTACTCCACCAAGGCACCCAACCATTCCTCCCAGGACCTTTGTCCCTAAGTAGGGCACTTTTACCCCAGACCTTCTCCTACAATGTCCCCATTGCTTCTCCCACCATGTCCCCAACCCTTCTCAAGGTGGCTTCTGCCTTGGAGCCTTGATCCTCTCCTGGGACCACCTGGCTCTGGGCTGAATCTTTCCCTCAGCTCCTGTGGTTCCCATCCCCACTCCACGTTAACCCTGTCCCAGCCAGAGCCAGCTGCTGGGGATGGTCTCTCTCCCCAGCAGGTCTGGGGTCCATCAAGGAGGAGGAGGAGGAGGAGGAATGGCAGCAGGATGCTCCTGAGCAAGCAGATGCCCTGGTGAGATGCTCAACCTCCAGCTGGCAGCGGTCCCCAAGGTGCCATCCTGGGGAACCCCCACTCCCAGGGGATAATGGGAGCAACGAGAACCCCAACACCTGCTGGGAATGTGGGAAGAGCTTTCATGGCTGCTTGGCACTGGTGAACCACCCTTGGATCCGTGTGGGTGAAGGGCCCTTCAGCTGCCAGGGCTGTGGCCAGTGCTTCAACCCTCGCTCCAAGCTGGTCGCCCACCAACCTCTGCCACCAGCCAGTGTCCCTGTGCCCGCCCCAGCTGGCTGCTAATGTGTAAAGTGATATGGAAGAAAGAGGAAAGGGCCAGAAAGAAAAAGGGAATCCTGGGAGGTTTCTAAGTTTCCCAGGGTCTACTCGGCATAACTGAGTGTTATCTTAGCCAAAGGTGTCCCTGTAGGGGGCAAGAGAGGCTCAGCCTGTTGGCTGATGCCAGGAGTCACAGGTAATCCTGGCAAGGGCTGGTGATGGGATCTTCCCTGGCATCGATGGTGTCTTCCCAGCACAGATCAGCTCATCTTGTGTGACATCTCTTTCCATGTAGTGATTTGAGCAGGCGTTTGCATTCCTGGTTGTCATTTGTGACATCAAGTCCATCAAGTCTACCTGTTGGCTGAGCAGAGCAGTGGTGGAATCTGAACAGTCATCACCCTTTTCACAACCAAGGTGTAGCACCCTTTGTTTTCCTGCTTCCAACTACTGGTTTGCCAGCCTGGGATCCTGTTCACCTGCCAATCATTGGCTACCCTGTCCACTTGGTAGCTCCTTTTATATGGGTTGCTGTAAATATGGTTATCACTGCTTAGTGCAGCTACTAGGACTGCCCTGAGCTCCCCCACCTGTGCACAACCTTTCAACTGATCTTTCTCTGGTTGTCACTTAGTGTTGTCCCTAGAAAATGATGCACCAGTTAACCCAGCTCCAGCAAGGTCACTGTCCTCCTTCAGAGGAGGGGCTTCCTGAATGGGAGAGGGTTTGCTTGGTGTAGGTTGGAGCAGCAGAGAACCATGTAGATCCTCCAGCTGTTTGGACATTTTAGCAGCACCCTTGGCAATGGGCAGGGTCTCATTAATGCCTCCTAGGTAGGGGGGTTTAGTGTGACCAAGGGCAGGACCCAGCACTTGGCCTTGGTGAACCTCATACAGTTGGTCTCAACCCATGGATCCAGCCTGTCCAGATCCCTGTGCAGAGCCCCAGCCCTTGGATCCAGCCTGTCCAGATCCCTCTGCAGACCCTCAGCCCTTGGATCCAGCCTGTCCAGATCCCTCTGCAGACCCTCAGCCCTTGGATCCAGCCTGTCCAGATCCCTCTGCAGACCCTCAGCCCTTGGATCCAGCCTGTCCAGATCCCTCTGCAGACCCTCAGCCCCTGGATCCAGCCTGTCCAGATCCCTCTGCAGACCCTCAGCCCCTGGATCCAGCCTGTCCAGATCCCGCTGCAGAGCCATCCTACCCTCAGGCCCATCCTACCAACACTCCCACTCAACTTGGTGTCATCCGCAAACTTATTGAAGGTGCACTCGATCCCCTTGTCCAGATCATTGATGAAGATATTAAACAGAACTGGCTCAAATACCGGGCAACACCACTTGTGACCAGCCACCAAATGGATTTAACTCCATTCACCAAACTCTTTGGGCCCAGCCATCCAGCCAGAA